GTGATGAGATTTTTATTCCCTGACATCGATGGGATCCAAATCAGTCTGTCCTCATCTTATACCCTGACACAGAGCCCTTGGCTTTCCCTGAATCCAGTCCTGGCTTGTCAAAGGAACTGACTGGAGCCAGACAGCGTTTGCTATCAAAGGATGCCACACACAAACTCTCAGAAACTTTACCCTCGGGGAGTCCTTAAACACTACATCCAAAACAAATTAAATGCCTCGTGCTCTAGCTTCAGTCATTGATTCTTCTGACCACAGTGGAAATTCAAAGCAGCTGACAACTATTATATAATCATTTTCACATATTTGTTTACTGTTAGCAAATCATTCCTCAGTTGTCTGTCTCTTTTTTTAAATGATGAATTGTCCTAGTTCCTTTTAAAGCTGTTCACCTTGAAACAAACACTTGCTTTATTTCTGACAAATAATCCCGCCCACACCTGTCTGGTGGCATAGCCCTGTCAGGAATGAGTGTACCTGTTACGTGTTCAGAAATCCCTATACACATTTTTGGAAGAAATTTTCATATTCCTGCAATATTTCTGTGATGGTTAATTTTATAAGTCAACTTGACTGGGCTATAGGATGCCCAAATAGTTGGTGAAACATTATTTCTTGGTATGTTTCTGAGGGTGTTTTCCCGAAGGTTAGCATTTGAGCAAACGTGCTGCTCTCACCAATGTGGGCAGACATCATCCAGTCTGTTGAGGGCCCAAGGAGAACGAAAAGGCAGAGACAGGGAGAATCCTCTTTCTCTCTTTTGGAGCTGGGACATGCATCTTCTCCTGTCCTTGGACATCAGAGCTCCTGGATCTTGAGCCTTTGGACTCTGAGACTTACACGAGCGGGACCCTCTGGTTCTCAGGGCTTCTGATTCAGACCGAAGTACACCACCAGCAGCTTTCCTGGCCCTCCAGCTTACAGACAGCAGGGGTGGAACTGAAATAGGGCTGCCAGACAAAATAAGGGATGCCCAGTCAAATCTGATTTTCAGATAAATGTATAAATATGTCCTATATACTAAAAAAATTATTTGCTGCTTATTTGCAAATCAAACTTGACTGGGAATCCTGTATTTTTATTTACTGAATCTGGCAACTCTCATGAGATAATTTGAAGAGCTCTCATTTGTAGAAACAAAAATTAATTCTCTTGATTGCAGTTTTAAATGAATCACTCACCTCTTTTCTGCCTGTATCAGAAACAAAAAATGTTGCAGAAAGAATTGAATACCTTTTATTGGCTCGAATGTTGATTTGGTACTAATGTCAACATTTGAAAACGTTTCTTACCTATCACAAGTAGAAAGCTTGGGAATCAGAAATGCCAACATGGCTATGAAATCTTAGGTAAGTTTCTTAATTTATGTGAATGTCAGATTTCTCCACTGTTAGTGGAGATAGCAATGCCAGTGGCAAAGATGAGAACAATTTGATTTTTGTAATGGGCCTAAAATAATACCTGGGCTTCCTTCCGCAGCATCCCTCAAATATTGATGGAGTGGCAATATATAGGCACCAGGGGTATAACTGAACTAGACAAAGTCCCTGTAGATGATAAATAAATAAAGAAAAAAAGAAGAGAAATTTAAATAATAATATGACATATAAAAAATTATCAGGTAAATATGAAGGGGCATTAGAAGGGGGCATGTTGTTTAGAGTGAGGGAAGGTTGCCTGAAGATGGTGACATGTAGACTGCACTTGCAGTGACAGAAGGAGCTGGCCACGTGCAGGCTTGTGGGCAGGGCATTCAAGGCAGGAGTTGTAAGAGCAAAGGCAAAGAGAGCTTGGATTGCTGGAGGGCAAGGGGGACCAAATAGTAAGGCTAGAGCATGAATGAGGGACAGATTTTCTTTTCTTAAAATACAATAAAATACAATAAAAATTAATTACTATAAAATGAAATGAAGAAAACCACATGCAAAATGCAAGCCCATATCTTTTAGTTAGGTTCAGCATCACAAAATCATATTTTAATAACTGATATCAGAATCAATATAAGAAAAAAAAGTTACAAAAACTGTAACACTTCATTGAAAATGTGTATATAGGCAATTAATACACCCTGTGCAGTAAGATGTGCCTACCAGCCACACACAGGGACGTTGGGGCAGTGTTAGATGCCACGCAAGCTTCTTGTTCTCGCTGTCACAGATGGGCAGTGGTCCATGGACCACAATTTGCATAGCTGGGCACTGTTCCAGAGAGAGACAGGTAGACGTCCCACTGGCCATGGTAAGAGGTCAAGATTTAATTCTAACTGCTACCCAGATGGTCAGTTAATATTATAATAACATGAAGAGCCAGGCACAGTAGTTCACACCTGTAATCCTGGCAACCTGGGAAGGCTGAGGCAGGGGGATTGCACGAGCCCAGGAGTTCAAGGCTGTAGTGAGCTATGATTGGACCACCACACTGCAGCCTGGACAATATAGCAAGACTTTATCTCTAAAAAATATTATTATTATAATAACATTAAAAATGATAATAATAATATATATTTGTTTTTCAAGTCAGTAGTTAAGGAAATAACATTTTCTTTATCCTAAGCTTCCTAAGAGCTTTGAATAGAGGGTGAATTCATTACAGAAGGTGTCCACAAAGGTGAAATATCCACATTTTCCTAAGGTTCCAATCCTTTTCATGTCACCAGCTGGCTCTTCCTTTTAGTGACATGTTGGAAGGAGAGATCTAGATGGGGAGACAAGGCAACTGAATTCTAATCTGGCTCAGACTTGGGCAAGTTTCTTAACATTTCTGGATCTTAGTTTTCTCACTTGTGAAAACAAAATAGGATGGAGGACCAGCTATATCTCAGGTATTTTGAATCCCAAAATTTTATATGTCTATGACTGTAATTGTGACTTTTTTTTCAATGGCATAAACCTCAGAAAGAAAGGAACATACTCAATTTAAAATCAAATTAATTAGAATAATTTCAAATTATATTTAATCAAATCAAAACAATTCTCAAACTAATCAAAATAAAACTCAAATCAAAATAATAATTTGATTTTAGTGGAATGAAACTGCTAGCAAATATTTGAATAGCTAAAATTTCTAATTATTACCATATTTTGTCTCTGCACTGTCTTATCTTATTAGGAAAAGGTTTCTAGCATATATTCTGATCAGGCTGTCTATAAATTCAGAAATTAGTATTTATTCACTTTCTAACTCTTTTATTCATATTTTAATACTCTCACTATATTTCAAACTTCAGGTTTATGGATTACTATGTAAGTATTCTGTGCTAATTTACAGATATGCCCAAAATAATAACTGTAACACTTACCTTCCTAGAATATTTAAAATGTAAATTTTAAAGTGACTTAAATAAAGATGTTCTGAAAATTGTCCATTCGTCTGTTAAATATTTATTGAACACTGTGTTAAATACTGGAACAATACAAAAAGAAGGTATGCAACCATGACCGTAAGAAGATTAGGGGAGAAACTCACAAAGCAGGTCAATATAATGGTTAAAATTCTTTAATTGAGAAAGTGCAAAGTGCTATGGGAACCCAAGGGCCGGAATGAGTAACTCTGCCTGGAAGAGTTTAGACAAGAGTTGGTAATACTTGAATGGGATCTTGAAAGATGGCTGGAAAAGACATTCCAGTGAAGAGACAAAGCTTGTGCATAGATACCAGGTGCAGTTGTAGACAGAGGTACCTGGCAGAAGACAGGTAGTTCCGAGGCCATACGCATGTACTGCCAAGGTTAGGTGTTGAAAGTTCTCTGTCATGTTTCCAAATTTGGAAATTATTTTATCATCAATGGGAATACTCTACAGCGATTTAAGCAGGGAAAGGAGAGAAGAGTCATTGAGGTCCAATAGTGTCAGGCACTTTAGCAGCATTACTTTGTTGAATCTTGATCGATCTGTCAGGTAGCTTTGACTTTCTAGCTTACAAATGAGGAAACCGAGACTCAGCAAGGCTCCTTAATGTCCCCAAAGTATCAGAACTAGTAGGTGGTCCCGCTGGCATTTGAATTTAATTGTTTGACTTCAAAGTCTCAGAGGCAGGCGACTCCCCAAGGGGAGGCGTGTCCTTGGTGGGAAAAGTTCTGCCACAGCCAGGCCCTGGGGCCACCCAACTTTCTAATGCTCCCTTCAAAAGGCTATTTCCCCAGCATTCTGTGGGCCAGGGGATGGGAATTTACCTAACTGGGGAAGTCGTGCCCTTCCTTATCAACAATGGCCCGGCAGGGCCTGCTTGCAGCTTTTCATCCCTCTCCTGCAGGTCTGTGGGCAGCTCACAGGCTGCGGGGACAAACTTAATTAAATTCAAGTGAGTGTCCTCACCCAGACCTGACAGCACAGTGTGTGCAGCTGAATAATTGAGTTGTGCGGGTTTTTTTTTTTTCCTTTGCCTTCTTGGTGGTAGGCTTTTTGGGAAGGTTTTGTTTTGTTTTCTTTGGGTTTCTAAAGATGACCCTGACACTTTCCATAAAGCTGTTTTCTAGTAGAAACGCCCTCCATCAAAGAGACGCAGTTTGGTTGCCAGGCTACCATGAGAAAAGAGAACTCCAAGTGACAATGCCGACCTTTTCTTGGAGTATCCAGGGTCTATCCTTGTTCAGGACAAAAGCACCTCCCATAGACCTCACAGCTGGAACCCCACAGTGTCACTACCTGAACCCCAGCCGGTCAGACAGGAAGGCCCAGCCCGGCAGCCAGTGTCAGCTCACTGAAGCGATGGAAAAACAAACCATATCAAATCGGAAGAGTGGGAAAGAAAAGGTCCCTGGGAGACTCCTTTACAAAATCTCATTCGTGATAAATACAGATGAAACTAATTAAGGAGCGTTTTTCTGACGCAGCCCTCTGATACAGTGAGAAGAAATGATAACTTGTTGTTAGGAAGAAAGGAACAAAGATTTTGCAGCTTGTTTACTTCCTTGGCTGAGAGTAGATCCCTCACAGTCTCTGCCTGGATTGAATGAGCCTTCAGCACCTCAGATTTGGGCTTTCAGATTTTTTTTTTTTAGATGATCTTCTTCTGGCTTTTAAAATATCACAAAACTTACAGCTCAGGGCTTCCTCAGTTGCTGGTTCCCCTCGTATGGTTAGTAATCTTCCAATCTTTGTATTAATTTTCCATTTTCCAGTATTAATTTTCAGTATGAAATACAAAACAGATATAAAGGATAGAGTGAGTGAATATTTAAAAATTTTCTGTTGTTTTTGACATGTGAATCACTCCTTGAAAGAATGTGGACTGGTAAGAATTTTAGATTTTTCACCAGCATATAGGTTTTTATAGAGGACTTTTGGCTTGAAAATGCTTGAATATATTTCACTAAAGTAGGCCATGCTCTGGTCCCAAGTCACTGAAGTGTGTATAAGTGAGGTGTGCACGATATAGGAAGCTTCCTTCTTTTGAAATATTTTGATCTTGTAGTTTTTTCCAACCTAATAATGATATGGAACTCTACAGTTCATAAAATATTATTTTTCACATAGATTGTTTTTTATATTATTTGATCTTTAATTCCTGTGATACAGATTGTGGAAGATATTGTTATCCACATTTTACACGTGCTGAAATGGAGATTAGGAGTCCATGGTCACACATTATCTCTCTGCAAAACTAAATTTATTCTTAAAAAGTCTTCTGAGCCTTGTGCTAGAGTGGGGGGGGGGTGGATTCTGACCTCAGTGACTCAGTTTTGTCTTCTGAATTTTTTTTTTTAAAGAAATGGTTTGTTCTATGCCTTGAAATAGAAACCTAATCAAGAGAAAGAGTCTTCAGTTGGAAAAGATCTGAGTGCGTTTTTAGGCAGAAGCTAGAAAACCCTGCGGAAGGAAGGACTGAAGGCAAGACTCAGGGGGCGTGTGGCGGAGAAGCTCACGGTGCAGGCAGGAGCGATTCGAGTGTAGGTTCCAATAGCATTCCCTGAAGACCTTTCCTGTTCTAAGCACCTGTACCATGTTTTTATAGTTGATGTCTTATGTAATTCTCATTACCACTCTCTGAGGGCAGAGTGAATACTCATGTATTTTACAAAGGCAGTTGTGGTATTGCTAAGATCATGAGTTTCAAAGTCAGACTTTCTAAGCTCAAACCCTAGCACCACATCTTATTGGCTATAAAAACCTGAGCAAGTTCCTTTCTCCTTTCCCTTTCCTTACCTGTAAAATAGCATCAGCCTCATGGAAATGTTGAGAGCATTAAAGAAATAACACATTTCAAGCACTTAGTGACTAATAGATACACAGTAAGTATTGTACGGCAGTGGTTCTCAGCTGGGGACAGTTTTGTCCCCTAGGGGACATTTGGTGATGTCTGGAGACTTTTTGGATTGTTGTGACAGGCACATGCCACTGGCAACTAATGGGCGGAGGTCTAGGATGTTGCTGGACTTTCTGCAATGCACAGGACAGCTTCCTACAGCAAAGAATGATCTGGCACAAATCCAACAGTGCCACGGTGGAGAAACCCTGTTCTACATGTTAGCTGTTAGTGCTACTACCACACAGAAACGGAGGGTCAGAGAAGCTAAGTCACGTAGCCAAGATGACATAGGCAGAGAATGATAGAACCAGGATTTGAACTTCTGTCGTCTCATTCCAGGTTTGAAACCAGTTCCAGATGGCTTTCCATTACATCACAACTGCCCCCCAGCACCCAGACCTTGGTGTCCAACCCCATTCTCTAATAAAGGAGCCAGGCTCCTTGGAGAAGTAGCTGATCATAGGGCTAGGGCAGGAAATATACAAGATGAGCCTGGAGCAGGGGTCCTCAAACTTTTTAAACAGGAGGCCAGTTCACTGTCCCTCAGACCATCGGAGGGCCATTGGAGAGCGGGGCACACATTCCACACATGCGCACTGTGGGCCTGGGACCAGTCGGCTGCTAAGCAGGACAGGCAGCGGTGGCAAAAACACCCGGTGGGCTGGATAAATGTCCTCGGAGGGCCGCATATGGCCTGCGGGCTGTAGTTTGAGGATGCCTGGCCCAGAGCATCTTGTAGTGAAATGTTAGAAAAATACCAAAAAAAAAATATAAACGCCAATGATGGGGGTGTGTCAAAGTACACAGAAGACAACTGAAGGATCTCCCAGTAGCCAAAATTGGATCCATTTTAGTAAGGAAATAATGTATTAATAGTATTACATTATAATCTAAAGTATAAAATTGGCTGGGCGCGGTGGCTCACACCTGTAATCCCAGCACTCTGGGAGGCTAAGGCGAGAGGATTGCTTGAGCTCAGGATTTCAAAAGGTCCAGACCCATCCTCTAATAAAAATAGAAAAAAATCACTGGGGATCATGTCATGCATCTGTAGTCCCAGCTACTTGGGAGACTGAGGCAAGAGGATCAGTTTAGCCCAGGAGTTTGAGATTGCAGTGACCTGTAATGACACCATGGCACTCTACCAAGGGTGACAGAGCGAGACCCTGTCTCAAAAAAAGAAAAAAAAAGTATAATTACTCATGAGTCTATACAAACATAAATAAATGATTGGCTATATAAATTAATGAAGGACAATAGACAAATCTCCCATGTAGAAGAATTTCAAATAATTTATGTAGATATTCCCTTCTCAAGGAAGAGGAAACTAACTCCCTGCTTCTGAAGTGTGGGCTGCGTCCAATGACTTTTGTCCAGAGAGTACAACATGGAAAAGGGAGAGAAAAGGTAACTTCACAGGTGTAAAACCTGAAAACACTACCTCAGTCAGGTGATCAAGGTTAATATTAACAAGAAGTCATTTTGAAAGCATGTACCTGCCTTGATGTGATATGATGAAAATGACACTTTACTTTTGTGGTCTTCATCCTCCCATTGTATAACCCCCATCTAATCATTAGAAAGACATCAGACATATCCCGCTTGAGGGACATTCTATAAAATGACGAGAACTCCTTAAAACCGCCAAGGTCTTGAAAAACAAGGAAAGTATGATAAACTCTCACAGCCAAGAGGAGCCTAAGCAGACATGACAACTAAACGGAATGTGGTGTCTTGAATGACATCCTGGAACAGAAAAAGGACTGTAGGTAAACATAAAGGAAATCTGAATAAAATGTGGACTGTAGTTAATAATAATGTCTCAATATTGGCTCATTACTTGTGACAAATATGTGATACTAATGTAAGATGTTAATAATGAGGAAATTGGGTGTGGGGCTTATGAGAATTCCCTGTACTATATTTGTGACTTTTCTGTAAATTACATACAATTCCAACAAAAAGTTTACTTTAAAAAACAGTATGTTTGAATAATTGGCTTTGAAATGGAGAATGGACCTTTCTGTCTCCCTTCCCATAGACAAAAAGCAAGATCAAGTAGGGCTTTGAGGAGAGATGGAGTTACAGGTGGAGGGATGGTTTTACTATTCTAAATAAGTAGAGTAGATATAAAATGAGATATTCTGATATATTTAAGGGAGAGAGGACATTAGGTCCTAGAAGATGGTGTAACAGATTTGAAGTGGTAAATTCAACAGAGATTTTTACCACAAATGTCATCAGTGAGCGCATTGTATAGATCATTTTAAATCATCAATTCGAGGAAGAATGAAACAGAATGTATTTAATGCATTTAAGTGTATGTGAAACAAAACCTATTTAAATGATTATTTATTTAAAAAGTAACATCATATTCCTGTTCCTCAGATATGAACCTGTACATTCATCTCATCTGCAGCCGCAGGAATCAGCTGATGCTATAGAAACCAGTGCCTCTGAAAATATCACTATTTAGACCAAAAGACAGGCATCTGTCAGGGAAGCTGTTTAGCAGACAATACCCTTTGTCCATCTAATATCTGTTTTTTATTTCTCTTACTAAGAGATTCTCAATTTGGGTAAGGGAGGCAACCAGCCTATCTAAAATAATTCAATATCCTAGACATCCTTGAACTAGTGGTGAAACACAACACAGTTGTGGCCAAGGAAGATTGCAGAGAATTTGCTGCATCTGGGAAAGGTTTTGCCTTCTTGTTTATAGGCACCAACTGTTCTTCCAACTGTTTTTTTCCCTTCCTCCCTACAACAAAGGTTCTATACCTAGAGTGTAGCAATAATTTTTTAACACTGAGGAGAGCAGGATGGAAAGATGGGCAGCCAAGTCTTTGGTAATATTTTTAACTAGCCTGGACCGTTATCTTCTTGAGCAAATAGCGCAGTCAGAAATATTCTTTACTGATACCGTTTCCTAAGATTGTGCAACTTCAGGGAAGATATCCCATCAAGAGTGCAACAGTATAGATTTAGTGAATCTGATCAGCTAATAATCTGACAATTAATAGGATGGCTAATACAGATATATCATCCCAATGGTCTTGTAATCTAGCTTATATATAGCTTATATATAGTTTCCCTTCTTACTTTAGAAGAAACTGATCTGTTAGGAGGTGGTAGATTTTGTCATCTTTGCCTGTGTTCCTTATTATTATTAAGCCTGTCTTTTACCTAGAGAATATCGAAAAGAATTCATGGCAAATACATTTTAATAACATTATTATCTGTTAAATTTTGATTTACATTAATACATTTTTAAATATACAAGAGAAGGAAATTTCTCATACCCAGTGAATTCTGTTCCCTTGCCAAAGAGTTAATGTAACATAAAACAAATAGATAAAAACAAAGCAAAGCCAAATTAGACTACATGCACTTAAAGATGAAGGATTTTTGTTTTGTTTCTCCAGAAGTGTCATAGCAGAGTGTAGTGAGTTGATTTATGAAATTTTTGTGAGTGGATCACTATCTGTGCATGAGTAGTATCTAAAGTTAAATGAGACATAGTTTTATTATTGATTGCATTCACATGAGTGCTTCCTTTTTAAATTTCATAATAGTATTCAGGTGAAAGTGCTTGTGATATTTGTGAGGGATTAGAAGCTTAGGAGGCAAAATTTTATTTGGAAGGAAGAAGATAATATGAAAGAGCATCTAAAAAGATATATTTCTGAGGATTTATGTTAAGGGGATATTTATCATATAATTTCTTGAAATTTGCATATATTTTACCAAAAGCATTCAACTCATCTCTCTTTTTTTTTTTTTTTTTTTTTTTGAGACAGAGTCTCGCTTTGTTGCCCAGGCTACAGTGAGTGCCGTGGCATCAGCCTAGCTCACAGCAAACTCAAACTCCTGGGCTCAAGCAATCCTCCTGCCTCAGCCTCCCGAGTAGCTGGGACTACAGCATGACGCCACAATGCCTGGCTAATTTTTTCATATATATATAACTTGTTGGCCAATTAATTCTTCTATTTATAGTAGAGATGGGCTCTTGCTCTTGCTCAGGCTGGTTTCGAACTCCTGACCTCGAGTGATCTGCCCGCCTCGGCCTCCCAGAGTGTTAGGATTACAGGCGTGAGCCACCGCACCCGGCCCAACTCATCTCTTTATTTTTTTAAATTTTACTGTCAAAAAAGTATATATTCCTTATAATCACATTATTTAACAGTTTCAATCTATACATGAAATTATTTCCTTTATTATAAAGGGTGTACTTCTAGTATAGTCTACTCCAGGCACCTCAAACACGGCCCCCGCGGGCCCATGCAGAGTGGTTTCTGCCTTTGTTTTTACATTCAAAAAAGATATGTGCAGTGTGCATAGGAATTTGTTCATAGTTTTTTTTAAACTATAATCCAGCCCTCCAACGGTCTGAGGGACAGTGAACTGGCCCCCTGTTTAAAAAGTTTGAGGACCCCTGGTCCACTCTTTAGATTTAAAATATAATTCTTTTATACACATTGAGGTAGAATGTATTATTGTTACTCCACAGGGAGAAATATGTTCTCTCTGACCAAAAAGGCTAAAGGGATCTCCGAAGTGCTGGCACACAACTGTCTTTGCAGCTGTTTTGGAAGTTGCCAGAAGCTGGGAATGTGAACAGAGCATATGCTTCCATGTGACGTTTCTTCCATTCACGGACCAAAGTAAGTCTAGCATTTTCCCAGATGTCGGTGGACAAACTGACCCAGTTGTTAAGCACTGTTTTCAGAAACATCACAATGGTAGACATAAAATAGAAAGCATAGGATCTTATCTAAGGATGGCATTTTATGCCAAAATGAAAAAAAAAAAAGCCCTATACTAATAAAGATTGTTAAGAAAGCATGTATGACTAATGATGATATGACCCCAATTAAAATAATCAATGGAATATAAAAGTAAGGAATAACTTTGATCAATTCTGGTGAGCCAGAAACAGTGATTTTCTCACATGAGAAACTTTGAGGAATTTCTGTTTGTTCGAATAAACAGAATTGAAATAAAGAAATGGTTGTTTGGACACATGATCCTCTGTATGTGGAGTACTGGGAGCATGTGCAAAGGCCTGGCAAAATCTCAGTAAGCCACCAGCCCTTTCCTCTTCCCCACCCCCGATCCAAAGCCAGTGCAACAACATGGATCCTATTGATGATCTGGGGAAACCTAATTGGTTCCAGAAGGTCATGGCAAGCGGAGATGCCCAAAGTGGCATTTACTTCCTTCCTACTTGGTCCACTAGGTAAGGAGTGTGGCTCCTCTTTGGTTGGTTAGCAGCAAATGCAAATGTACCAGGCAAAGAATGGTGGCCCTCTGCCAGCTGATTCCTGGCCACCACTTGCTGTCTTTGGCTTCAGGTACTTCCTATTTCTCCCCAGGCCACTGTACCTCCGAACTAGCAAAGTATGGTAACAGTAAATCTCAGCTTTTCATATTTATGTGTGTTTATGCTTGAAAGATTTGAACAGAGACTCACGTCGTCTTTAACAGTTCTATAGCAGCTTCTAATTGTGGCAACAAGAGAATTAATTTCCTTTGTCTCTGGTGTGCCTAAGCAGACAGAATTATCAGGCACATCATTTATTTTAGTACAAAGGAAGGTGCTGCTCTGAAGCACTGGAGCTTACTATAAGACACAGGAGTAAATTTTGAACCTCTTCTTTTTGTGTATTCAGTAAGATTTAAGGAAGCATTACTAAGGGGTCCTCAAACTTTTTAAACAGGGGGCCAGTTCACTGTCCCTCAGACCATTGGAGAGTGCGCACTGTGGGCCCAGGACCAGTCGGCTGCTAAGCAGGACAGGCAGCGGCAGCAAAAACACCCCGCGGGTCAGATAAATGTCCTAGGCGGGCGGCATGTGGCCCATGAGCCTTAGTTTAAGGACACCTGCTACATCTATGGTGGCCAATGTGGTCAATGATAAGAAGAAACCTACCCAGGAACAACTTAACTCTAATTCTATAATTTAAAGGAGAATTTTAAAAGTATTGCCAAATTAAAAGCAATAAAAAAGGCAGGGAAGAAAGTTTTGTCTATGATAGCAAATTGAATTTTAAAAGTTTGATATGTTCAAAAGATTCTCCAAGGACCTAAATAAACAGAAATAGAGATAAAAATGATGAACGAAAAGATGAAATTTCTGCAAGATGAATTTCTACAAGAAATTCAACACAAATATGGTAGAGATTTCAGAATGAGAAGCAGAACTTTTAGAGCTACTAGTAAGAGAATTAAGGGGACTTTTGATGAGCTGAATAAAGCCTGAGTCTGGAAACTAAAAGGAACTCACTAAACTTAAGGCAAAATAAATAAAAAATAGAGATTAATAGTATAAGTTTAAAGAAAATAAATTTACACATAAGCAATCCTTGAATAAAAGAAATAATTTCCAGGTAGTCTCGATAGCTTAGAGACTACATAGAAAAATTAAAATTCAGTGTATCAAAGCTTATCGATAAATAATAAAAAAAAGCCATAAGCCATTCTGGAAAATGAGAGTCTACATGTTTTTATTATTAAAGAAAAGTGAATAAAAATAAAAGATTTTTAAAAACCTCAAGACATTTGAAAATGAGCAGTCAGATTTAAGGAAAGTAGGAGAAAGAAACTATAATAATTAATGCAAAGAGTAAATGAGCAACTACAAATTAAAAATCTGTAGACAATTAGAAAAGTTAAGAACTGATGCTTTTAAAAAAATAAAAAATATATAAAGAGCTGATAAGTTTAACCAAATAAAAAAGAACTAGAACATTAATATAATGATAGATCTATGAAAATTTAAAAATAAGGGACTATTACATACCCATATTAATAATAGTAAAAATCTCAATGATATATATTATTTTATAGAAATATAAATTAGTAAAATAGACTCTAAAATAATTATTGTCTCTATTATTAGTTTATTCATTTTAAATACTTGGAGAAGTAATAATTGTGTGTTATTTTTTTAAGGCTCCTGTCCAGATAGTTTTACAGGTGAATTCTTCTAAACTTCCAAGGAAGGGACTAAGAAAAGAAAAAAACATTTTTAATTCAGTTAATATAAGCCTAATAGCGAAATTTCACAAAGCACAAAAGCTATAGTCTGTCTCAATTATGACAAACAGTATAAACATTTTAAATGAGATATTAGAAAATTTAATATGACATGATTTTAATATAACATACCATGACTGAGAAGGAATTATACCAGAAAGTAAGAATGGTTTGAAGTTAGGAAACTTAAGAAGCAGTGCATAGCAACCATGGACCAAGGAAGAAAATCTATATAGATATTGGTTGGTCTTTGGGGATAGGGAGAAAGTGATAAAATGACTGTCACTGTCCTACTTGCTATTCCTCCTGGAGTTCTGAACCAATTGAGATGTAGACAAACGACTAAAGCAGATGGAATTACAAAAACAGATGTAAAACTGGGCTGTAACTAGTTCAAAAATAAAAAATAAAAAATCTAATTCACAATAGCAACAAAATTATAAACTAGCTATGGATAAGCTTAAAAAGTAATGGACAGTGGTGCTAAGAAGAAAATTTATGAAAATTTACTAAGGGTTTAAAATAAATTTAAATGGAAAGGTACATAATGGACAGAGAAGGGGGATCTGGTTTTATAAAGACTAATCCTCCACAAAGTTAATTTATAATTTTAGTTCCAATCCACAATGTGATTGTAATTTTTCTCCTTTCCTTTCTGTTCCCCCCACTTTTCCCCTGTCTTCCCTTTTGCTCTTGTTCTTTTTGTTTGTTTATTTGCTTGTTTCCTTTTTGAAGTGTATATAGCTAATAAGTGTTAAGCAAAAGAAAAAAGAAAACAACAACAAAAAAAGGATGAACCATGAAAGTTATCTTAGGATATTTTAATGCTACAATAATTATAATGAAATTGCCAGATCATGTCTCTCTGTGTAATATGTGTTTTATTTATATGATGTTATTGTGTTTTTATATATATGTGATGTTTTTATATTACTATGATATATAAATATAAATATCTGGATTTTTATTATAATTACAATAGTGTTACAATATCTTAGGATATATATTCATATATATGTCCCGATCCGCAGGACCTTCTGTTACTCGCGGGGGTCAAGGGGGACCTTGCCTGAAAGAGATGGGTGAGAGAAAGGAATGAGACCAAGCAAATGGTTGTCAAGGTCTACTTTACTTAGATTCTTAGTAGGTTTTATAAGCATACAGAAACAAGGAAGTAGAAACAAAAAAATAGAGTGGGGGGACGATGAGGCTTGGGTCTGGGTTAATCAGCCCCAATCAAGCGGTCTTATCGGTATCCTGTTTGTGTACTGCTTACTCCAACCAACCTGGCAGGTGGTCGGGAACAATTGCAGTCAGCACTCCTGGAGCATCCCGTGGTCAGCACGTCATGGAATGCATTCTTCTGGAGCTATAGCTGGAATTTTCCAGGGCGAGTCTGTGCGTAGGACGAGTCATAGGGGAGTTGAGGGTCCTTATTCGAGAGTCCTTGCTCTAACATCTCCCCCTCATCCTTATTAACTATCGAGGGACGGTTTATATAAGTGGTCGGAAGCCTGTTCTTAGGCCTACCGCGATGCTTCCGCGACTAAGCCCCAAATATCAAGATCTGGCGATTAAATGTAAGGTGAGGGTCTGTCCTTAGGCTATGTACGTGGCATCCAGTCTGGCAGTTCTATATATGAAGTGTGCCCCGGGCATGGACCTACAATATTCCCGTCATGGAGTTACCTCACAGCTGGCGTGGTGTGCATCTGGTAGCACCGGCATCCGCGATAATCCCGTCATGGGTCTCCACAGCCTTTGGAACAACTGCCGTTCCACCATGTCCCTGGGCCAAGGTCTGAGAAATTTAGACTTCAGTGGTTGTGTGGAGAACTCTCCACGGAGGTCTTCTCTGGAGCTCTTTGTTCTAGCCGTTGTAAAACCACGAGACTGATTTTTGTCTGCTGTCTAACCTGTGACTTGACAAAATTAGTTAGTTTTTTGAAAGCCCAAGCCCCAAAGGTGAGGAGGCAACAGAAAGCCTACAAGCGGCCTAAAGACACTGGGAAGCAATGTGGATAGCCAGGGGGATGTGGAAGAAAGAAAACTAATTTTTGATACCACGCTTTTCTCCTGTTTCTCCGTTTTTCTTTCTATCTTCTTAGCTCTTGTCTAACTCTCTCCAATGCATTTCTACAGACCCTGTTTCTGTAAAATGCGTAAAAGCAACCATTCGCTCTTTAAGTGCTGCACACAAACCTCCCCCTCTTGGAGGAACACTAAGTCTAAGGCTCTTCTATTTCGCAACACTATCTCAGAGGCGAAGGCGAGGATTCTTTGAATAATTTTAGGCCTGTGTAGCTTCTCAAGAGATCGTTATTGATGGCAGCAGAGAGCTGCAGGTATAGCTGGTTGGAGGTGACTAAAGGAGGCTATGCCTGTTCCAGCCCCTGTGGCACCAAAGGCCTAGAACAACTGCGAGTGTTATGGCCGTGATGGGCTGCACCCTTTTTTCCGCCGGGGCATTGTGGTGCCCGGCGCTTCCCACAAATTTGAGGCAACTTCGTCAGCAGGATGTACGGTGAGTCGGGGAAAAGCTGACTAACACACAGTCTTCTCTATGGCTCAAGAAACGTTGCAGTGAAATCATACGGGGTAAGACCGGAAGAAAGCAAGCAAATAG